TAGCAAGTGTGCAGGTGTGCGTCATATGAGAGGCCCAGCCTTACATTTTCCGCCACAGATTTGGGGAAATTGGTCCGTGCGCAAAGCATTGTGGGGATTTGAAGGACGCGAAGTCTACCCATGTGCAGCCTCGAAATTACCCCCAAACCAAGGACGCGGCCTCGGTGGAATTCCAAGTATGCTGGACATTGGAACAGTCCTTCGGCGGCACTCGATGACGTAGCATCCTTGAAATATTGGCTTGGAAGCCAGTTTCCTCGAGATTGAGAAACAGCCAGTGTCTGAGGACTTTGTCCTGGCTGGTTTTCTCTGTGTGTGTGCTGCTCGGGACGTATGTGCCATACAAGCGTACACAGCTCATGTTCGGAGAAACCTTAAAGAAGAAAGGCATCAGTAAAATGGAACTTCTGTGTGAACTACTCATATCTTAAACTGCACTGTAACTTTTCTTTTAATGTTTCTTTTATTATCTTTTATTTTTAATGAGTGTTTTTAAATGCCTTTTTCTGAATGTCTTTCACTTTTGTAAAGCACCTTGAATGTGTGTTGAAAGGTGCTATATAAATAAACTTGCCTTGCCTTCCTGTTTTTATTGTTATATCAGTAAATCGCATATTGGAGACTTGTGACGCATGTGAGCTGCTACAGATAAAATATACTGGCCTGTGGAGCAAATAAAATAAACAGATGCAACAGTGATTACAATCCTTTCAGAAATATACTGCAGTCACAGAGAGGACAGATGTTTTACACATTGGGAATAAAACCTTGAGTTACACTGCTGACTTTAATTTAAAAGGTGTCACAGGAACAGCAGAGGATCGGACTCATAGCTAAAAAAAATAGGACCAAAATATATTTGGCAAAAACTTGAATGTGATATCTCCTCAAACTTTGTTGTTAATTATTGGCAGAAAGTGACTGCCGGGTTTCTCACAATGATTTGTTTCCATTTTTAGTGAATCAAAAACATATTAATTATTTTCTGTGTTTATATAAGGAGAAAGTAGAAGGGACTGAATCACTCACAATACAGCCTGCATCAAGTTAAAGGGAGTTAGATATTGATCATCTGTTCTCATATTTCACTTACAATTGGAGGGTTACTGTAGTTTTAAAAAAACAAAACAGTAATTAACCAATTTCTTAGGAAAGCCTTGGATTGCCAGACGTCTCCAACCCTTGGAATCTATCCAACGATGCTTTGACTTCACTGTTCATTCTCAAACAACCCGTATTTGAATGTGTATCTTATCTTGTATTGAGTTGTGTTAAGTAAACATCAGGTTCTCCCTGAGGTGTCCTCTCATGAAAACTTCACTTCACACCATTGTGTACTTTAACTGCTGGCTTTCCAAGAACTGCAAAAACACAGAGACACCAGAACTGAACGCCCCAGCTGAAGAGAGCAAAAGAGAACGATTGAATAACCTAAATAAACAAAGTAAGAGAAATAATGTTGACGATTCAATAAGTGAATGATGTGCTAACATAAAGAGGTTGTATTGGATGCCTTTCATGCAAGTAAGCTCCTGAAATCATGCTCTCCTGACTCCAGTCTTTTTTCTGGAGATGTCCAGAAATTATAAAATACACAACAACGTAGATACAGACACAGACTGTGTAAAATCCCAAGCCAAAACAACGACACTTCGTCACATTGCTGAAGTTCAGTTAGCAGGATTCACACTGGGTCTCCTCAGGGTTTCTGCAACTTCTAAATGTAAGTATGCATCAGATGGGCTAAGATTTCCAGGAAAAAGCAGGAGAAGTTGAGAATGTTGTTCCCATTTACTCCCCGTGCCGTGGTGTTTTGTTTTTGAGCCGTCAGCTCTCGCAAAAAATTCCAAAAGGTGAAATCTTCTTCTCGGCTCAGATCACTTCGCTCTAGAGACCAACTGCTGAGCTGACAAAACTTTCCTTCACTTCAACACTTTTCTCACACACACACACACACACACACACACACACACACACACACACACACACACACACACACACACACACACACACACACACACACACACACACACACACACACACACACACACACACACACACACACACACACATTCTTCGTAGGAATTTGTCTCAGGAGCTTAGCAACAGTGAAGCTCAACCCGCCTAGACAATTGTGAAATGTGAACGTGAAAGCATCCGACCTGTTTCATTCAAATAAAGAAGAGGCGGCTCGTCCACAACACATTCCAGCGGGAGAGTTTTCAGCCAACCAACAAAGATTTGTAATGATTAAGACATTAACATGCCCATCCCTAGACACGAGGAGCTGTAATGATGTGCAACAAACACTGCATTTGAAATAACCGACAGCAAAACAGAGGTGATAATGAGATAACTGCCTCAGCGATAATATCTGATAACAAGCAGGCTGTCTGCAGACACCAAATGCACTGACAATGTCAACAACCAAAAGGACTTCTGGAGTTAAGGAGTAAGAACTTCCAAAACTAGCAGGAGAATAGAAATGGCTATTTTGAGACACAAATAAATCCCCTTAATATATTGAACTTCAAAGCACTGCTGTCGTTTCAGACAGATAAAAGCAAACCCAGCGAAAACAAGGGAAAGAGATCAAAAAGCTTGACTTACTTTGAGTATTCTTCATTATCTCTGTTGCATCGAGAGTCCTTGTGTTTCTCCCAGTCCTTGCCATGTTTGCATGTGGTCAGCAGAATGATATCTTCCCCGTTGTGGATGTGATACAGAGCGTTCCTCGTCTCAGAACCGATGCCAGTCAGGTATCGCTTCCCTTTGAAAACCAGCAGGTACTTCCTGGAAGGCGGTGCATCGTTGAGCGTCAGATAACCCATGCCCCCTCCTTTTAGCGGGTGCTCCTTGGAGAATAGAGGGATGGAGATATCAAAGTTGGGTCTGAAGTTGACCACATCTGCGCTGGCCTTGGCCAACATGGCCTGGCCCACCTCGAAGCCCAGGTCCTCTGTGTAGTCCGGCCAGGTGCCAGAGTACAGGTTGAATATGAGGTGGTTCCTGCCATCGTTCCACGTGGGCAGGCTCTGGATTCGGAGCCTGACGTTCTGGACAAACTGAGCCGAGAGCTGGTCCCTGTCCAACGTGTCCACGGCCAGGATGAAGAGACAGGCCCTCGAGGGGTCTGCGGTGTGGAAGCGAGACTCCTCGATGGACGACAGGATCTTCTGGTAGGTCTCGGAGATCTCGTCACCTCTCTGTGGAGGGTAGATGTAAACCCTGAAGCCCGTCTGGCAGCGAGCGAAGTCGAAGCAGGTTTCCATGCGGCAGCGCTTGTTCCTGTAGATGTTGTCTCGGATCGCTCGGCGTTCACGAGGCGACGTGTGCTGGTGTTGGACCTGAGGGCTGTCCTCCTGCAGACACACAGTTTGTATTGAAAAAAACACGTCTATTTCATCAATCCATCAACACTGCATGATCAATTCTCAGCGAACAAAAGCTGTCCTTTAAGATGCCATAAACTCTGTTACCATATTCCAGTTTTGCCTTCATTTGAAAAAGATAGACGGTTACATTTTAAGCCTTTACATTCCAGTAATATTACTCTTCACATCTGACTGTGAATAGTCATGAAGCGCCCCCCCTGATATTTGCCCTTTTTTTACATGCACCCCCTTTGACAGCATTTTGCACGTTTGGCAAATCTGTGGCCTCCCAGTTATTCTTTTTATGGTAATAAACAAGATCAACCTGGCTCAATACAAGACACAGAGCTGACCGTTAACAGTCAAGAGGCCATGAGTTACAAATGGAATAATATCTGCATTTCCCACACGCCTTAATCGGATATCGCCATTTTGTGAATAAGGCCTAATTCAGAATATCCGTTTACATGACCGGTATCAAATCCAGAAGATTGATATTAGGTTGACTATGTATGCATTCACAAATATGTGCACGATAGGACTCACTTGACCATAATGCAACACTTACAACCAGGAAAAGACAACACTTATGGATTTAGGATATCAAAATCTTAGACAATTTCAAACTATGTCAATATATCAATATATATCCCAGTCCGATAGCCATGTGTACCTCCTGCTCTCCTCCCTCCAGGTACGGCTCCAGCAGCTGGGTGGACTCCGGCCAGTGCCTTGGGGGTCTGGAGGGGCTCCTCTGGGGCAGGGGCTGGTACACCTCCTGGCTCTGGTGGTAGTACTGGTAATCCGGCTGGTGGTACTGGGGGTACTGGGGAAACTGGTGATATTGGTACGGCTGCTGCTGGAACTCCCCGATTTGCAGACCCCACAGGTAGACGAGGAAGAGAAGACCGGCCCCCACAGACACAAGCAGGTACCGCTTCTTGGCCTGCATGTGTGCTGTGGGGGGGGGGGGGGGGGGGGGGGGGGGGGGG